TTTTTTTTCTTTTTTAAATGATTTATTAGCCCAGCATCACTTGTAGCACTTCCTCTTGGCAGCTGCTGCCCTCACCTCTGGCGATTCTGTCCAGGTCTCTACCATTAAGTGTCCATTTGTGGCCTCTGTCTTGGACCTTTTCTGCCATTTTCAACCTTCCTGGGTTGGAGGGCCCAACAGGCCATGCTTTTGGAGCCTCTGCTGAAGTGGCCACTTTTCTGACACTTCCTCAGATCTCGGTCATGGAAAAGGCTCCAGCAATGCCCCGGAAACACAGGTATCACACTGTGGAAACAGCTTGTGTGGAGAATGGCTTCTCATGACAGGGAGTGAGCTCTTTCTGCTTGGCCCATTTGACAGTGTCCACCCATTCAAGGACTTTCTGCTTCCCGGACTTTTAAAGAAAGGCTGCCAGAGTGCTGATGAACTCCCGCTGGTTCACGTCTCTTACAGTAACTCCAGGCATCATGCTGCCAGCCAGGAGAAAGGCCTGCAGATGCTTCCTGTCCCTGCCACTCCCAAGCCAGTTATGTCCCCAGATTACAGTGAGAGCCAAATGCCCTCAGCAAAGCTGTCATAGCATCCCCTGGCTTTCATACCCTCAGCTCACTCACTTCTGCCGTCCTTTCCTCTGCTTCCAGGTTACTTCATTTCATTGGTAAATAACCACACCTTCATTATCTCAACAAAAAAAATTAACAATAAGTCTTAATATCATCAAATATTTAAACAGTGTTGAGTTTTCTAGTGCCATGCACACAGACGTAGGTTTGTTTTCATTGGGATCCATCAAAGGTTGGATGTTATAACTGGCTGATAGGTATCTCTGAAATACCTTGAAACTTGAATTTCCCCTCTCTCGTTGCAGTTTATTTGTTGAGGAAACCAGGTTTTGGCCGTATAGTTTGCCAGGATTTATATTCTGCTGATTATATCCACTTGGTATTTTCTGTAAATTGAATTGATAGAGGGAAAGAGTTGATCAAAGATGCTTTGTGGATGGTGCTATATTCTATCAGGATGCCTATAACATCTAGTTGTTGCTTTATTATGATGTTAGTTGTTTTGTTTTTTAAAATTTCAAATAATTCACCCAGCAACATTCTGGTTTTCTCGACTACCTCGATATCCTGTGATCATAAAAATATGCTTGTAATGGTTTTTCACTTTTCTTTCAATGTCATAGTCCTTTCTTGACCTCGGTGAAGACTACAAATTACTTCTTTTGCAGCCCATTCCTCAGTTTGGGTTTGTCTCTCAGTTTGGGCTTGCTCATGGTAAGATTGAGGTTGCACATTTCTGGCAGCAGTGTTGCCGAAGGGACTTTGGCCACTTTTCACATCCGGTGACACTGGAGGTCATTTTGCCCTATCACTGGAAATGTTCAGTTAGATGATATCAGTCAGGTAGTGTCTGCCAAGACTTACCCATTATAAATTATTCTTTCTCCCTTCATAATTACTATTTTATGAACAGAGTATTTTAGCCTGAGTAAATATCCTGGTTCTCATCCAGCTTTTACCCGGTGGCGGTGTGTGTGGACAGTCTACTGGTGTTTGTTGCTGAGGAGCAACTTGCTGGGCAGCAACTGCAGTGCTTTTCCCCTCCATTGTTGTGGCCTTCACGCTTCTGCCTGCAGAGTAAGAACCGCGAGACTATATACAGCCTCGCCTTCTTCCTGCCTTCAGGGAGAAAGCATGCAGTCTTTCATGTTTTTATTATGATATTAGCAGTGAGTATTCAGACTTCTCTGTCCCTGTTTGAATCAGTTCCCTTCATTGTTAACTTGCTGAGAGTTTTTATCATAAATGGGTGCTGGAATTTGTCAAATGCTTTTTTTTTTTTTTAAGCATCCATCAATATAGTATGATTTTTCTTCACTGGCCTGTTGATACGATGGATAATTATATTGATTCATTTTTGAGTATTTAATATTCTTCCATACTTGTAATTAATCCCATTTGGTGACAGTGTATTATTCCTTCTATGCATTGCAGAATTTGACTTGCTAATAATAATTTGTTGAACCTTTTGTGTTCAAGAGCGACATTGGACTTTTTGTATTTTTGCCACTTTTGTAGAGGTAAAAGAGTGGTCCTACCCTCAGAAAAGGAATTGGGTTCCTCCAGAACCAGAATCTAAGACAAGGACATGGGTATAGACACTTTTGTGGCAGGGATCCCAGGAAGCAGGAGAGGAGCATGCACAGTGAAAGAGGCAATGGGTCTCAGTCCTTTGGGATCTCTCGGAAGCATACAGAGCACCTCCCAGAACTTTCTACTTGAAATGTGGGAGCATTTATCCATCAGCTCCCAGTCTCTGCTAGCTGAGGGCTGTCTCTAGCATCATTCACTTCTGGGATGCTCAGAGCACAGAGTAAAAAAAAAAGTCCTGCCGCACTGGAAAGGGTGTGAAGGTTAATGTGAAAAGACATGGCACCTGCTCGAGATGGGCCACTGTCAACGCAAAGTGAGTTTGAGTACGTGTAAAACCGCCCATCATAGCTGATGGTGAAATCAGAGGTCTCTGGTACACAGCAGAGAACAGAAGTTCACCCGTCAGCGCATTAAGCTTGAGATTTGACTTGCGGTCAGGGAGACTGTGGAAAATTCAAGAGTACAGTTCAGCAGAGAAGCCGAGAATGGAGATAGAAATCTAGGGATTATCAGCATGTAGATGGCATGTATAGCCATGCAATTGATGAACTCAATCAACAGGTGAGTGTGTGGAGAGAGAGACAGACAGACAGAGAGACTCACTCCCAAATGAAGCTTTTGTGGGAAAAAGAGAGGAGTCAGAAAGTGTAGTCCAGTGAAAAAGCAAACCCAGGGAAAGCGACAGTGTGGCTTCTTGCAAGCAAGCAAAGACACTAGCAAGAATGAAAAAGATCAATGTGTCGAGCACTACTGATTAATGTGTCAAGGATGATAAGACTAAGAATTGTCATTGGAAGGCCACTGATGAGCTATGAAAACGTTGGCTTTTCTCAGTTTTAATTGTTCCCTTATAGAGATTTGAACATCAATAAGTAGGCATTAATGCCTTTCCCCCAGTGTTTCTCAAGCACTGCTCTGCCAACTGCCATACCTCCTGAGTAAAATTACCAGCAAGCAATGGCAATTACAGGAAAAAAAGCAAGGCAGTATTTCTTGTCAGCATTTAGGATAACTGCTCTTTCTCCGCTTTTAAATTAAAATATACCTTCTTCAGTGAAACAAGGATGTGTTTTCATAGAAAAACAGCATGTGAATAACTATGGTAATCCTCCACATAAAAATTTTGTGTGTGGGTGTGGGTGTTTTAAAGACTCTGGTAGTGATTGCTTTAGCCTACAAAATCTCAATAACAGTATCAGCTTTATTTGATCAGAGAACGTACCTGACAATTGGAAAATTTTTTTAAAAGGTTTTGTAAGGGGGTTGGGGGAAGAGAAAGGATTTAATTGGACAGAAATATTCTTCCATTACTTTTCCCTGACATTTTGACCCTAGTGGAAGAGATGTTTCTACAGTGCAACTTATAGTTCAGCTAAATAAAAAATTGTTTTTCTGCAGTGCTTAATGTTTTGAAGGGTTTACTGTTACCAGAGATTACTGTGAAGCCTTTATGTCTGCGAATTTCTTACTTTGTTTCTGTGATTCTGTTCATTGGTCCCAAAGAGGTCAGTGGGTTTTAAAGCATTCCCTTCTATTCTGTTTTCTGGAAGGGATTGTGTAAAACTGG